AATGCATGGGACATTGTAACAGCTTTCTTGGTTTGTCCTCTTTCCTCCAAGGTTTAGCAACTTCCCCCAGTGGTTAGTACAGCACTCCAAGCAACTAATCCTGTATCTATAAACTGTAATGTCAAAGGATTAATGTGTGCCTGGGAACGCAGGTCAAATCTGCTTTAGATCACAACAGTTTGAGTTCAGCTCCTAGCTGAAATATTACGAAACTACCATATAATTTAGTACAAGTCTTGCATTCCTATACTTCAGCTGCTGGTTCCCTTTAATAAAAAGAGGCCCAGGATTGATTTCCCTGAGAATGTATTTTTCTTTGTCTAAAACCAAAGTAGTATCAGCTGGAAAGTAGAAGGATTTCTTAAAATAATTCTGTATTCGATATAAATAGCACTTTCAAAGTCTGCTTTTAAAATACTGTAGAAAGTACAGTATGGCAAGTTACTGATATTTCCTGAATTTCTCCTGTTTGCTATGTTGCAATGCCCGGATCCTATAAGCATCTCTTGGTGACATGCCCTGCCTTCCACTGGATAGCTGCTGAGACCAGCGGCGCTGCACACAGATGCGGTGGCATACATGAGCTGAGTCTCATCTGAGGGTAAAGACAATTACTTTTAAATATTTTATACAAAAATAGTAATCTAATTTTTGCAATACGTAGAATGATATGTGCAGTAAGCAGCAGACACATATAACTACATCTGTTTTATTTATGTAGAGTCACCAACAAAGCACAGAAACGTACCTAATTATCTGCAGACGTAATATCCAGAATCTCTCTTACTTTGCCTTCTTGATACTTCTGTTAGGTACTGTAGTTGTGTGTCTTTGAGGATTTTTCCTATATGAATTCTTGTATATGATTTTACTTCCAGGAAAAAGTGGCAGATATCCTTCTAGAGTATTTGTTTGATCTTAACGTTGAAATATAATTGAGAGTAGGTATATTTATTCACTTTTGGTTAACATGGGTGGGGCTTTTAATTATTTCATTCTATTTGAAGGCTACAGGGTATTCTGTTATCATAACATAAACTAATTACCAGCTTTCAAATATGTCTATTTCATTGTAGCATATAAAAAGCAGTATTGTGCACCACCGCACACATCTTAGCGAAGGGGCTGCGTGCTTAGGCACCTGCTCTGACCAAGTTTACCTATACTCAACTGCAGACTGAAAACCCCATGTGTTGTCAAACTGTAAAGTTACCATCACAGTGGCTGGCATTTTTAAATTTGGTTGGTTGGTTTACTTAGAAAAAATCATTTGCCAGATGAAATAAAAAGCAGCGTACTTCGGCTGAGGTAAAAAGTCCAGCCGGGCTGAGGCGGTGGGTCCGGCCTGCCGCCCTCTGCTGGGGTCGCCGTCCTCTGGGAGCGAGCGGCTGGCCTGGCGCTCCTGGGCGCTCCTTCCAAAACTGACAGAAGGGAGCATTTCATAACCACGTTCGTGTTTGCTTCGCCTTTTAAAAAATTTCACCTGGGCACACTGCAAAGCCTGCCTATGTGTCTGAGCTGCAACGCACCTGGAAACCCAACTTCATTTCAAGCAGAGACTCATTTAAAAATTAAGTCTCCTAGGCTGGGATGCGGTGCTGGAGGACTTTGCTGACAGTCATTTTCTCATGGCCTGACAGGTTCTTCGCTCTGTGCTGCTGTTTCCGACGATAGAGCGCATGGCTCAGTCGCCTCAAGGAAAGCTCATGACCCCTTTGCTGTGCAAACTTCGTTACATTCTGTACATGCCCGTCTACCTGCTCTCCTTCCTACCGGAGGGGGTCAAAGCCTCCCTGGTGCGGTTTGCTCTGCGAGGAATGAAGACCTGTGATGAATCTTCCATAACAACCTCTGTAAATCTGTTCAGCGTGGACTGCATTGGTGAGCACGTGTGGTTTTTTGTTACGCCAACTTTTGTACTGTTCCCGTTTAGTATATGTTGATGTAGTTTTGTGGGCAAAAGCTTAATACTAAAGCATGAATAAGTTTTGAAGGACAGGTCTAATCTTTTCTCAAGAGCACAGGTACAGGAAACTCTCAAATGAGTCAATTTAAAAAAAAAAAAGTCTTAAAGGGAAAATAACAAAATATTTCCCCAAAGAATATATATTTCTTAAGAAAACTCTGACCTATACTACTAACAGTATCTCATGTGATTAAAACACTGTTTTACAATCTAGTTTATGTTAATTATGTCTGCTTACTTTTTGCATTTCATTCATATTGGATGGTGAAAATAACTCAGTAATCAGTTTCATAAATGGTTCTTTGCATCTGTGTTTTTCAAAGCTATGGCTTAACCGGCTGTATAGAATTTGTCATCTGAATTGGAATATTGATAAATTCAGAAAAGTGCCTTCAGTCTACAAAGACGCATAGAAGTTACTTTATGCACAGAAGAATTTCAACACTTTTTTGGGCATACGGAGAAAGAAGATTAACGTTCTCCCAGTGCATATTGTATGCATATTTTGCACATTCTAGCCAGAGAAACAGCTTTAAGAAAGGGAATAATTTCAGATAAATTATGTTAAGTTTAGAATGAAAACCAGAACGTGGATTGTGCTATACTCCAGGTATTTTGGTAAGCTAGCAGTTGAAAACAATTTGGAATAGAATTGACGTGCTAACGCAGTAATAATAGCAAGAAGGAAGTTTTGATTGCATTAATAGTAGTAAAAACACATTCTTACATTTCCAGTTGTGCTCTGTCTTCTATCAGTTAAATTTTACCTACTAATCGTCCAAACCGATGTGCCAGAGTAACTGTGATTGCAGTGAGGTCCTACGCTTTTCACGGATATCTGTGGATGTATTGGACTGTATTGGAGGCTCGCTGTAGGACTGTACAGAGACTGAAAGCCAGATGGGCAGTGAGGGTTCTTACTGCCAAACCTAGACAGCCCCATTTATGCTGCACAAACCTGGCATAATGACAGTCGCTGCAGTACCCTGTGCCTGACAAAATCAGACTCCCAGTTGATAATGTAAATTTCTGAAAGGAGTCCTATGGTTTGTTGTTTGGGTTCCTACTAACTTGTGGCAGTTTTATGATGACCGAGGAGAAAGCAAGCATGCAGTCATATGTACACTAGGCTTTCAGGCTTCCTCCTTTGATAATTTGGTCTCGGAGAAAGGTATGTGAAGGTCTGTGGGGTCGCATCTCTACAAACCAGGAATCCTCCTCTGGTCCCTGCAGATAAACTTTTACCTCTCAGAACAGGTTATCCACCACCAGGGTTGTGTTGGAAACGGTCCTTGGCCTGCATTAACCTCCAAAAAAGCATGGCCAGCCATTGTTTGTGAGTGCTGTTTGGCCCAGACCACGGCAGTGGCAGGAATAATTTCACAGAGCAGATTTTGTGTGCTGCTGTTGGAGCCTGACTCTCCGAGCTCTTTAGTCCCCAGGTGAATGAGCCCAGTGGATGTGTGCGTGTCAGCCTGTTGTAATTTTCTGTGTGTACCAGTGTCTGATGTGTGCCCAAGCTGTAAGGTAAACTGAGGCAAGAAACCAGGCTGAAGGCTCTTTACTCATAGGATGTGATCTCTGCCTGTGTTCAATTTATTGACTGAATTCATTATACCAGAATGAAAACCCCTGTGAGCCAATGTCTTGTAAAACTTGCATAAACAGGCCTTATTGATGCAACTAGTTCCTTTGGGCTTGTGATATCATCTCTCTCAAGCAGAATTCCCCTTTGGTTTCATCTTTGGAAACTGATGATGTTTTACAGCCCAGTGACTCAAGACCACATGTGTGGATTAATAATCTTAGGGCTTTCCAGATATTGCCTGTTAACCTTCTCCTGTATTGTTTGTGGACAACAGAAAATGTTACCATTCAGCAAAAATTTGCTAAACCTAGCACAACAACTGAGTCTTTCTTATGGGACTGCTCATCTGTGAGTTACTGAAGCCTCTGAATTTGTGGTAAATGCTTTTCTGATTGATTCCTTGTCCCTTAATAAACTGCTAGATATGGTTCAGAAATGTTCAGCAAATGGAGTTGTTTCTCCCTCCAGGAAGGTTGCATGTCAACTCATTAAAAATACACATATTGCCTTTGGCATGTACATCTGTTGCATTACTGTAATTGTAATAAAAGCTGTGATTAAGGGCAAGAAAGATGGTAAAAGTTTCCTTAGAACTAATACGTCCGTTAAAACAAACCAACCTGCCAGGGATTTGTTACCACATCCAAAGCTTAGTCACAACAATGTTTTCTCTCCTCTGAAAGGAAATGAGATTTGAAAACTTAATTATAGCGGAACTCTAAGAGCGAGTGCCGCTCCCATTGACATCGAGAGTGAAAAGCTCCATTCAGTGGCAGCAGAATCAGGCCCGCGGTTGAAAGAATCAGTGAAGGAATAATTATATTACCTATCTGTCTGTCCCACTGTTTCA